GTTCACTTAACTCTTTGCTGCCTACTCCATTCCCTTTAGGAAACTTTGTCTTCTTAAAAGATGTTTCCATGAGCTCACATTCTCATCTGAAGAATATAAAATAACATGCTTAATACTGTACACAATGTATTCTCCCATTTTCTTTATTAAGGTACTGAGTGGACGCAACGGGTGGTTGTGGGTATATAAAGACGGCCACAGGCCGGGTGTGGTGGCTCACGCCTGTAATCCCAGCACTTTGGGAGGCTGAGGCAGGCGGATCCCCTGAGGTCGGGAGTCTGAGACCAGCCTGACCCACATGGAGAAACCCTGTCTCTACTAAAAATACAAAATTAGCCGGGTGTGGTAGTGCATGCCTGTAATCCCAGCTACTGAGGCAGGAGAATTACTTGAACCCGGGGGGGCAGAGCTTGCAGTGAGCTGAGATCGTGCCATTGCACTCCAGCCTGGGCAACAAGAGTGAAACTCAGTGTCCAAAAAAAAAAAAAAAAAAGGCCACAAATCTTTTCATACATTTGCTTCTGCTTGATAGCTTTGTTGGTGAACTTAGGTGAAAACTGTGATTATAAAAACCTTAGCCTCAAAAACCAATGATGCTAAAATATATTTTCTAATAAAACTAAATTTTTTTTTTGCAATGTAGCTAATATCTAAAAAGAGCATACCATGATTATCTCAGCTATTTACTTTGGGCAGATAATCTTTCTAAATACACATAAACCATCAGAAATTTTAGTATATGTTAGTTTCTCACTTCTATGCTTTATCTCCTTTAAAGATTAGCCTCCTAGAGGTATATAGGAGTGGATTATGTCTTTTTCTTTTTAAAAAACACTTTTACCCACTTAAAAAGCTCCTTTCTTCTGTCTCAGTTTTCCCCTTTATCTTTTCTTGCTCTTTCTCCAGGTGCTTTCTTTCTTACTTTAACTTCCTGATATGCCTCTCTGTCATTAATCTTTATTTCATTTTTTTCTGTCATGGAGATTGGTAACAATAGTACTAGCAGTGGGCCGGGTGCAGTGGCTCATGCCTGTAATCCCAGCACTTTTGGAAGCCAAGGCAGGAGGATCACTTGAGCCCCGGAGTTTGAGGACAGCCTGGACAACACAGAGAGACGCCATCTCTACAAAAAATAAAAAATTAGCCTGGTGATTACCTGTGGTCCCAGCTGCTCAGGAGGCTGAGGTGGGAGGATCATTTGAGCCCAGGTGGTCTGGGCTCAGGAGGCTGGAGTGAGCCATGATCATGCCACTGGACTCCAGCCTGGGCAACAGAGTGAGACGCACTCGCAAAAACAAAGCAGAAAACAGTAGCAATGCTGAGTCCTGGGTCAGGATTCTGGCTAGGCTAGCATTAGTAGGGAGGAGAGATGAAAGTGACTATACAGCTTGGATGATTTATTGTTTTTGAGTTGCATTAATGGGAGGCATCAAAGAAACAACTTATTTTATTCAGTTTAATATGTCCTCATAAAGGGCATCCTAATTTTATATGACATGAGAGAGGGCATATCTCTCTGATCCTTTCCCAGTGGGCATGTCAATGAAATAGAAATGTATAAACATTTGACAGACAGCGCTTTGTTACTACAGGGTCTGCTTGAGTTGTAGGGCATTATGGTGGTTCCAATATCACTTATGATGCTGTAGCAGATGAACATCGATTTCTTGTGATCGTGATGATATTGGTTTCCTTTGCTCTTGTAACAAATTATCACAAATTAGTGGTTTAAAACAACACAAACTTATTAATTATAGTTCTGATAGCCAGAGGTCTTAAAATCAAGGTGTTGGCAGGGCTGTGTTCTTTCTGTAGGATCTAGGGGAGAACTTGTTCCTTATCTTTTGCAGCTTCTGGAAGTTGCTTATATTCCTTGATTTGTGACCCCCTTCCATCTTCTACGCCAGTATTCACATCACTCTCACCTCTGCTTTTATTGTTACATTACCTCTCACTCTGAGACCCTGCCTTCCCCTTAGAAGGACCCTTGTGCTACACTGGGCCCACCCACATAATTGAAGAAAATCTCCCCACCTCAAGATCTTTAACTGAATCATATCTGCCAATCTGTTTTTGCATGCAAGGTAGCACATTCACTGTTTTGGAGATTAGGACATGGACATGTTTGGGTGTCCATTATTCTTCCCACTGCATACCTGTCCTATAGCCCGCTGTTTGCATTTTACTATTAATACTATTGATATTAGTCAGGCAAATTGGAGTCAGCTGGACTATAGCATTTTTAGTGCTATTTTTATTTTTTTGAAGCCTCCACATTGGAACCAAAATAACAACTGTGCTTTGATGAATACACAGAACAACATGCGTTCAAACCCTCAGAGCTTTGTTGATCCACATGTTCTCTGTGCTTGATGCAGAGAATCTACTAGGTTTTGAAATCTTAGCACTAATGGCTGGTATATTTCTGAGGTATTGTGCCCACCAAAGACATAAAGCAAATCTAATCCTTTGGATAAAGATCTCAAAGCCACAAAATTCCAACTCTATCTCTCTACTAAGATCTAATAGTGCTGAGGGCTTGCAAGAGTTGTTAATGTACCTTCTCATGGCCAATTTACACAAAGCATGCTATAAGAACATTGCATCATCCAAAGTAAATGTGTAACCTACTGTAGGCATCAGTCAAGACAGAAAATGGCTTTTCTAATGAAATTTTAAGAGCGGTGTGTTGTCCAAAAGAAAAAGTTCTTTATTCTCATTGTTTCCACACTTCAGAGAAGTTGATGTGGAGAGTCTGAGAGGAAGAATGAGCAATGAGGCTGTTGAGATGGTAGACAAGGGGGTTTGTTGTGGGGGTTGAAAGATATAAGATCTTTGTCCTAAGGACAACCGGAAGTATTGAAGGACTCTAAATAGATGAGGAGAGGAGGGCAAGGGAGAAGTCAGGGCCGGCTACTGGGTATTTTGGCTTGGGGAGACTGGATGGATGGCAACTCCATTGGCTGAGATGGGAAACAGAGAAAGCAGAGTAGAGTTTGGAGGTAAGCTGCAGGTTAAATTGGAAATGAGAGTGAGACATCCAAATGGAGATGGCAAAGAGGCAACTGGCTACATGGATCTGAGGTTCAGGAGAGAGGTTTGGGCTTTCGATATGAATTTATGACTCATCAGTGTAATGATGGCCACTGGGAACTCTACTGGAGAGAGTATACAGAGAAGAGAAGATGGATTAGACAGAGGCCCAGGGAGCACCAACTTTCAGAGAAATGACAGGAAAAGCCTGCAGAGGAGACTAAGGAATAGTTAGAGGTTACGGAAAGAGTTGGTACATTAAAACATTTGTACCCATTATTTGGGTCATTATTGGAAACATGTTTAATCACAATTAAATGTGACTTGAAATTTATCTCTTTAAAATTTACTTAAAAATTTTATTTATATTTAAAAGAGGAACAGTAATTCCTCACGTCGCAGGGTTATGAGGTTCAAAAAAGTATTTGAAAATATTTTGGAAAGTATTATACCAGTGGTTCTCAAACTTTAGTAGTATATATCAAAATCATTTGGAGGGCTTGTTAAAACACATTGCTGTTCTTTTTTTTTTTCAGTAGTGGTAGTAGCTAGCGTTTCTGATTCAGATCTGTGGTAGGAACCTAGAATTTAAATGTTGGCTAAGTTCTCAGGTGATGCTGATGTTATTGGTCTAGGACCATCCTTTGAGAACCACTGTGTAATATAAATGAATTATGGTTTTCACTTTATAGCAAAATTCATTGAGTTTTCCTCCAATGTTAGTCTCTTTCTTCCTCTAATGCTGTTATTTCTTTACCTTGCTTCATACCAAGCAATATCCGTTTACACATGTGAAAGACCAACTAAGTGTAAGTATTTTGTTGATTACAGTCAACAGCGTTACAACAAGCAACGACCTCAGGTTAGCTTGATCAAGGAGAATAGGAAAAATATATGTTTTTTTTTTTTTTTTTTTTTTTTTGAGAAAGGGTGTTGCTCTGTCACCCAGGCGGTGGGATTTCTGTTTTCCCCAAAGTCAATTAGATGTCAAATGCTACTTGTTACCAACTTTCCAAAATCCCATTAGAGACCCTGTAATTTGTTCCAGCGGGAACAGCATGAGGAGAGTCAGGTAAGAGGAAAAACTGACTTCATTCTTCATTCCTTTCCTAAATCCTGAGAAATGCGTATACTTCAACACTCCCTTTTACAATCCCGCAAACCAGGGAATCAGGAAAACACATTAGCATCCTAGTACAGACTAGGAATACAGAGCTGGGAGGAGACTCTGCCGTCAAGACAAGGAAACTGGGGGAGGGGAGAGAAAACTTCCCCTCGTTGGAGAATCTGCGGGCGGCATTGGGAAGAGAAGGGAAGTGGGGAAATGTACCTCAGACGTTCGCCAGACACTTTGCCTCCGGGCATGTGGGAAAGTGAGGGAGGAGGGAAAAACGCTGCACCAGAGCGAGACAGCAAGAGCTCCTGCGGCTGCTTTTGAGTGAAGATCGGGAGAGATAGAGCGTTCTGCTTCACATCTTCCTCCCGGAGGCCATTTCTCCATTTTTAAGTGGGATAAAGAGGGGGCGCTGGACTGAGTCAGTATAAGCCAAAGTTGCCGCCTCTTGCGCAGCAGACCCCGCTTCGGCCCCTGGCCCAGGCCAGAGAGGTGGCCTTCGGGGACGCTGAAGTTACTCTGCGCAGGGGGAGGGGTCGCCAGGCTCCTCTCCAATCACGGTGGCCGCTCCAGCTATTTGCATACATTATGCTAATAACAGACCTCCTGCCCCGCTCCCACCCAAGCTTCCCGCCCCCCTGGGGGGTTCCCTGGGCCGGCCCGCGGGCTGGGCCAAGGTGAATACATTATGATAATAAGGCGGGCTCCTGCTTTGGCTTCGGAAGTGGGGCGCGCAGCAGCGGCAGCAGCGGGAGCCGCGGGCCGGACGCCGGGCGCCGGGAGGGGGTCGGGGGAGGGACGTCGTGCTCGGAGCGCGCGCGCACTCACACTCACACACACACACTCACACGAGCATCCCGAAGGGTATTTAAGGATCGCGCACGCGGGGTTGCGGAGATCTTTCCGGCAGCCGCGACTTAGGCTTCGCGACTAGCATTGGCTCCTTGGGTTTATTTGGTTTTCCTCTCTTCTCCCCCTTAGCCGCCCCTTTCGCGCTGCGCTGTAGCGTGCTCTCCCAGCCTTTTTGCCTTGAACTGAATGCAGGTGGGAAACAGGTCGGCGTGCTGAAAGACACCGAGTAGGTAGAAATAAGGCAAACTCACAGAGGCGCAACAGGTTCGGTCCTCCGTGGCCAGGGCGAGCCGCGGCCCCGCGCCGTGCCTCGGTAGCCGTCCCTCGGACCCTGAGCGACCGCTGTCGGGGACCTCGGAAGAGGTGTCTGTCCTCTGGGAGTCGGAAGAGCTGTCTGGGTGGGCTTCGTCTTGCTTTTTACCCCACCGCCACCCGGTACCCGGTCTGAGGGTGCTTTTCACTTCCAGCTGGGAGGAGAGAAGAAAGCGGGGATAGTGCACGCCTGCGGGTCTGGACGCTGAGCAAGGCAGGGGTCCATCTCCGCTCGCGGGCTTGACTCCACCAGCTAGTTGTGCAACCACAGGGACTGAACTTTGGAGGAATCGACCTTTTTCTTTCCTTTTAGGATTATTTAAGGTGTAGAGGGTGGGAAGCGAAGCCGAGACGGCCGACCCCGCCACGATGCTGCTGAAGAAGCACGCAGGAAAAGGAGGGGCCCGGGAGCCCGGATCCGAGGACTCGAGCCCTGCCGAGCAGCATTGTGCCCGGACCATGTCACCGTGCGCCTTCCTGGCGGCTCTTCTGTCAGTGGTGGCCGTGGTGTCTTGCCTGTACCTGGGTGTGAAAACCAACAACCTCCAGGCGAGGATCGCCGCTCTCGAATCCGCCAAAGGGGCCCCTTCCATTCATCTGCTGCCTGATACCCTGGATCAGCTCAAGGCTATGGTGCAAGAGAAAGTGGAGCGACTTCTGGCTCAGGTGTGAGAGGCTGGGGTATTTTGCGTCTTGTACAAGCGTGACTCTGTGTGCATGACTAGCTGCTACCCTAACTGTACGCAAACTTGGTGTGGCTGTGTGTGTGCGTGCGCGTGCGTGTGTTAGGCAAGGATCTATGCTCACTGTAGCATATATTTATATGTGCACATCCCTTGATATCCCCATCCCTATTTCTAATCTTCCCTCACTCTCTCTTAATGTTTGCATGTTAAACATATAGGAAGTTCTAAAAGGGGGAAAGGGCATTTTACCTCTTTTTAGTTATCCTAAGTCACATGTGAGGCTTTCCCAATTGTGGAGAGAATATTTCTTGCAGAAATAGCATCTGTTAAATCTTTTACATGTTATAAGATGGTTACGGTCATAGATATTAATATACAAAAAAGGTAATCACTCTTAAATGTAAAATAATCTCATGTATAATGTAAAGTCAATAATTTCACACCTTCAATCTTTTCATATTAAAAGTTTAAACGTTTTTTTAAAAGTAGCTTTATTTTTGGTAAAGGTTGCAGTGCCGGAGTATTTATGAATGCAGAGCCCTTGGAGTTGAGAGTTGAAAGGAATCTATGCTATGTTTAAGGGCAACTTTAGACTAGAGTAAGGGGGTTTTCTGGAAGCTTACCCTAGCGGGGAGCCTATTTGGCAGTGGTTGCAGCCTAGCATGATAAAGCAGTTGACCTTCATGTATAAAATATTGGCTGTTATTGGTAAGCCACAGCTTACCTAGTACTGCAACATTTTAGTGCTAGGTTTTTACATTGACTGCATGAGAGAGTGGTGATAGGGAAGAATGGAGAAAGATGTTACACAAGTCCAGCAATGTTGATACCCTATCAGTGGTCATTGTCTTTTTTTAGGGCTTAGGCATGGTTACTTTCTTGACTAGAGTCCAAATACTTATGTAAATGTTAATTATGCAGGTTATGAAATGCCGGTAAATCAGGCGTATGGCCAGAGTCCCTAAACACTCCATGTCTCTACAGTGCTACTGATGATTGTTAATAACTCTTCTTTTCCTACAGAAATCCTATGAACATATGGCTAAAATAAGAATCGCAAGAGAAGCACCTTCAGAATGTAACTGCCCAGCAGGTAAAATGGAACTTCTTTAACAAGGTTTCCTCCAGGGCAGAGCATTTTAAGACAAAGGTCCTGTGTCTGTCAAGTCTACCTGTAATAATAGTAAAGAAAGAATGCAGACTGCAACTTGGCTTTAATAAAATCAACATGTCTCATTCAGAAGGGTGGAAAATAAAGCCCCAAATATTATTTTAAGCAGCATACCAAGGCCTGTTGTGGGAAAGCAAAGGAGATAGAGATAATCACCAAAGAAAATATAGGCAAGGTGATGTACAAAAACAAATATCTTAGATTCACAAATTGAAAAATATTCTTCAATTAAATTGTCTTAATGTCGACAGTGAAAAGGACTGTAGAACTGTTAGATTCTGAATTCCTGGCTCGCTCATATTGCGTTAGTGCAGATTTTTTTTTTTTTTTTGGTTTATTCCCTTTGGCATACGATTATGTTAGTAAACCACCTTCACTTCCTTTCCTGCTGTTTCTATTCTATTAAAAAGATTCCATCTCCTATTCTATAGCTAGAGATGATGACTGAAAGAAAATCAGTTCTTTATCTTGAGCTTCCCATTACAAACTCTTGCATTCTCAATGACTTTTGAAGAAGAGGCTCTTATACTTTTACCTTTTTTTTCTGTGTAGCTTCAGGGAACTATATTAAAGACAGCATATTAGTAGAAGGAGAGGGAAGAAGGACATCATGAATAAGACCCCCTGGGTAATCATTAAGTCTTCCTTCGTGTACCTTTGAGGGCTTGGTAGTTATCTCAGACCTGACAATTTAGAAGCCCTTGGAATATGGCCATTGGAAACATCTAGTGGATTCAACTCAGATAAGTCATGGAAAACTCCCATGAGTTGAGATGTTTATTTCAGATAAACATTGTTAACACATTTATGAATATGATAGTTTCTTTTATCATCACTCATGGAAAGTGAGTCTCTTAAAATTTCTTTAGTATTAAGGAACATGATACTTAGGTACTTATATATGAAAAGGCAAGTTCTTGTTTTTTTTCATATTCTGAAACCTTTTCCCCCTCATGATAACTTGTTTTGGCACAGCTAAACAAGGCCCCCACATTTAGAAATTTTAAATGTCAACTCCAGGTTGTACATTATACAAATTTTACTATTTATATTCTGTTAAAATTTTTGAACATAAGAGAGTTATATTTTTTAAATGAAGCCCTTTTGAGTGAGAAGACATATACGTTAGGTACCAGAAAAACAAAGAGTTAACCTTTGACAGTGTAGGTCTCATTCTTAGTTGTTTTAAGTTGGAAAATATCTCAGAAGTCAAATATTCAAGGAAGGCACTTTTCTAGTGCGGGAATTAACTCACAACCACCTCATCAGCCTGTAGGGATTATTTAAATTCCCAGGACAGTTGGTACAGAACTTCACTGATCATACCACTTAGAGTCCAGCATTTTTTCGTATACGGTATTCTTACTAGCTCTGTGAACAATAGCTAGTGCTTAATTAATATGATTCTTAATGAACTTAGTAAAAATAGAAAAATGACAACCACAGCATTGAGTTCTATTTTTTGAGAAGATATAATTGTTTCAGGATGTTTAATGTAGGCTAGCTATGAAGTCTAACTTGTAATCTAAAAGAAATCTATTACATTTAAAATTTACTGTATATTATCTTGGATTATTTTGGACCATTTTTTCATCTTAGCATGTTAATGTAATAATAAATGGAGATTTCCTAGGCTTTTTTGTTGGCTCCCACTAATAGCTGCTTTACCTCTTGCCACCACTAGAGCTCCACATTACATCAATTTTTACCTGGCAACTTTCGAGGTAAACATTTGAAGGTGTGCATTCTAATATGCAGAATCAAGCAGGTTTCTTGCTGACAAACTGCTGTGATGGAAACACTAACTTTGGCTTGAGGAATAATCAGCATCATCAAAATAAGGACGTTATGTTGAAAATAATATCCTGGGGAAAACTCATTATTTCGAATTATGGTCTGTGAAGAATTGTTTTAGGGAATGAATGGGCTGACCAAGAGGATTAGAAAAGAGATTCAGCACTTCCACCTGGTTTGGCTCTAACCCTGGTTTGCAGTGACTAAGAGATGTCACCTAGACATCTGTTTGTAGGGCAGAGTGAGACAAGTCTGTGACCTCAGCTCAGTTCCTGTGGACAGATGCCTACCCCTTGAAGTTGACACTCTTGTTGACAGTTTCAGTCACAGAGCCAAGGACTGATAGCAAAGAAGCAATGCTGTGTTGTTTGCGTTCACTCTAATTGCTCTTGATAGAACTGAATCCCAGTGAGGTTTATTCAGGTAGGCTCTAAGGTAATCATAGAATTTATAGATATATTTTTATGCACAAGAAGGAACCTCTGTGAGGGAGAGATGAAAAAGACAGTTTTTAAAAAATGGCTTCTAATGGCAGGGGATGTACTCTTTAATTTTCACAAGGACCCTGAGTTAAGTATTAGTAATCTCATTTTACAGATGAGGAAACTGAGATTCAGAGAAGATGATTAATTTAACATAGTAAAGGCAAGGTCAGGATTCATGCCCACATCTGATAGAACCAAAAGCCCAGTCTACCAAGGAATAGAGAATAAGTATAGGTTTTGAACCTGGATAATTCTGGATTGGAATCTTGGATCTGGTACTAAATAACTGTGTGATATTGGTAAAACTAATGAACTTTCCTATGTTCTAATTTCCTCATCTCCAAAAAAAAAAAAAAAAAAAAAAACAAGGGAAAAAAAGACTAATAATACCTTCCTTAGGGTAAGCGTTTACCTAAATAGTCTGGCATATTAGTGGCTATCCATTAGACAATAGCAATTACTATTCTTTTTAGTATATTATATGCTACTTAGCTCTACTGTGATCTACAGAGACATAAGAAATAGGTGGGAAAACTGAGACCTGGAGATATTATATAATTTGCTAAAAACCCAGTGGCTAACTAATGGCAGGTTTGGACTAGAACACTATACTTAATTAAATAAATATATCTGTAGATTATTCATGCAGATAACCATACTGGTCAGTATTTCTTGGTGCTATATAAATATTGGTTCTTTTTTGATATTTATATAAGTCTCCTAAATTATTCTTACAAAAATTGCAGGGAAAACTTTTGACCTTTTAGGTAAACCATGGTTGAAGTGGATAGGACCTGGGCTTAAAAGACCATGGGGATATTAAAGAATATCTTTACAGTTTTAATACCAGATGTTTACAAAAAGAAATAGCTTAATTGTGTGACTCCTTTTCATTTTTTAACAGCCTATTGCAGTAAAATTTATAATATTTACCTATTTTAAGATTTTAAAAACAGATTTATAGAGTTGGGCAGCCATCACCACAATCCCGTTTTAGATCATCTTGTCACCCTGGGAAACTTGCATTTATTTCTTTCATGCACTCAGAAAAACTCTATTTTAAAAAATATTTGGTTTAAAGAAACCCAAAATAATTTAAAAAATAATAATTTTTAAATTTCCATACAAATTGAAGCTTTATTTAGCAGAATATTTGTTTTAGCAGTAGCCGAACCAGAGAAATTCAGCTGGAATCTGTGGCTTGGCCTCTGTAAAATTCAATTCTAATTGGAGAGAATAAGTTGGCTCTTTGCTATGGCTGTAGAATTTAGTTTTGGGTTCTGTTCTTGGAATCTTACATAAAGTATGCATAAACCAGGCATATCTATGAGAAGGTTTTTATGTTCCAGCTGATGAAGAACACTGGGAGCCAGGCAGCCAACCAAAAGATGTGTAGATCACAAAGCTTTCCGTATCTTACTCATCAGTAGTGTTGCCTGCCCAGGATGTTAGGTATAAGAACCTCTTTGGTGTAGTGGAGGAAGAATGAGGATGTGGAATAAAGAATCCAAAGTTCTAATCCTGGCTTTGTCATTAACTTGTTATGTAATTTTCAGAAGTCATTTCCAAGAACACCTCTTACAGTTTCTATTTTCATATCTCCAAAATAGGAGTGCTGCACAAGAATGATTTTGAAGGGCATTTGTCAGTTCTTCAGGTTAAATGAAAAGGCTGCTGTATGCCAAATACTGTACTAGACATTGGGAAAATGTTGGTGTACAAGGCAGACTTGGTATCTTCCCTCATGAAGCTTACATTTTGATGAGGATGACAGACAATTCTTTAAAAATGACATGAATATACAGGTATGACAAGTGCAACCAAGAAAAAGTATAGTGGGCTTTGGGGCAGATGACTAAAATCTCTTCCATTTTTGCAAACCCAAAGATTTTATTTTTCTTTTCTCTGGGGAAAATAGAGAAAAAAGTATAATTCTCTTCTAGAAGTTCACAATAGGAGAAAATCTGGTTTCTGATGAAAATAAAAGCTCTAGCAATAGATAAAAAGCTGATTTGCCTTTTAGCTCTCCAAGAATTTATGAACAGATAGAGGTGTACTGATACCTGGTATACTTACCCCATGTGAAATAAAAAAGTCACTTTTAATATGTAAAGGGTTGTTGTAGACAGGAGGAGGATGGCTTATTCTTCTACTTTTCTCCTGAAAATAGGGAGAGTTAGGTTGAATAAGGAGAGAAACTTCATGTCTGGCTTACTGAACAGTGCCACTGGACCTGGCTCCTATACATTCGTGATAATCATTCCATGTAACACAGCTAGTCATTTGCTTAGAGAATTTAACTAGACATAAAAAACATACAGTAGATAACTTCTGAGGTCTCTCTGTACACTCCAAGTCCATAAAAATGATGGTGTACAAAATAAGAATACAGGTAGGCAAGCAATTCACATAGGCAAGCAAGATTCATAAATGCAAACAATATTGCCCCTGGTGACTGACCTCGTTGTCTGTGTTCTCAGTTTTGGGTGGCAATAAATGTTAACTGTAGCTTGATGGTTGTGTACTCTTTCCCATTGTATAAGAAGAACCTTTAAATTACCTTTCTAACATAAATTTACTTTCTCACATATAACTTGTGTTTCTTACTATACATGGTTTTTCACTTAGGCTGTATGTTTTTAT